TCAACAGCTAAAACTTTTGCGAGAATATGCCGGTTGCGTTGAATGTGGCAGCCAAGAAGTAGATGCTTGGAATTTGTATGAAGAAAACCGATTAGTATGTGCCAGCCTTGCTGGATGAAAAAAGAAGGTGGGAGCAGCAGTCCCATTAGTTTTAAAGGACAAAGCCGCTGATATCAGCAGCGTTGAGGAATTAACCTTAACGAATGACTGAATACTTACGACTGCTTACCAATTAACGCTGATTGTGCGAGGAAATGGTTAAAAGATAAGCAACATTTAAATAATTGTGCTTGCTTGGAAGAGCAAGAAAAGAGATTTACGAATTATTTGCTAATTCTTTACGAAAAATGGAGGTAAGGTTAAAAGATTGTCAGTGCAAAAGCAGTGTAAAAGTAAGGGTTGGCAGTGATAATTATACTGAATGCGAAAAGTGCGAGAGAACCATTAAGGCAGCCAGCAAAAAAAGAGTAATTAAGAATCGCAATAATCCAAAGTTTTGAGGTTTAGAAGTTGAAGAAAAAGTTTTGTGTGGGGATTGTTTGAAGAAATTAGTGGGACAAATGCCAGCTAGTAAGAAATATACTTTTAGGAAGTATGAGAAGAGGGAATGTTTTTAAAGAAATTCAAAAAACTCGGGGTATGAAACATACTGCTCGCCAGTTATGCTAACCTCTAGCAATTAGGCAAGAGATTAAGCATTAACGCAAAACTTTTATTATGTTAGGAATTCAACAAATTACCCAAGAGGTCAATAAAAAAAGTAAAATAAATAATTTAGTAAGCACGAAAAAAGTAGTAAATGCTTTCCTGGAAACTATTCAGCAAAAGTTAATCCAAGGTGAAAGTATTAATTTTAAAGGTTATTTTACCTTAAAAAGAAGTATGCCGCAAGCCAAAGGTAGTAAGCATTGCGGCCGACATGAAAAATCCCTTAACGATTTTAAACAAGCCAATAAAGGAAAAGGCCTAGCAGCTTATGCTAAATCAAGCAAGTTTAAAGGAATTGTTAATGAAACTAAAAAATGTAAAGATTGTCAAAGCAAAAAAGAGCAATTAATTAAAAACACTAAACCCACTAATCGGGTGTTATTTAAACCAAGTAAAGATTTTTGAAAACCAATGAAGAAGAAATAAAGTTTATTTTCAGCATTTCCAAAGCAGGTAAAAAACAAAAATAAAATTTTAACATGACTGCTCTTTTAGAAAGTTCGCTAATAAGCACCTCTGAAAAAATTAGACTAGGAAGATTTTACACTACTCAAAACATATTTAGTTATTCCCATTTCCAGGAATGATTTACCCAAGCATTAAAAGAAAGCAATAATCTAGTTTTAGAACCCTTTGCTGGCTCTAACAACTTAATTAAAATGCTCCAAGAAGAAGGTTATAACTTTGACTTTGTGGCTTATGATATCAATCCTGGTTCTTTTGAAGTAAAAAAAAGAGACACTATTCAAAATTTCCCTCAAGGTCATAAATTAATAATCACTAATCCTCCTTATCTTGCCAAAAATTCTGCTTGCCGCAAAAAAATTCCTTTTCCTACTACCGAGTATGACGATTTATATAAGTTATGCCTTGAAATAATGCTAAAAAACTGTGATTATGTGGGAGCCATTATTCCGGCCTCCTTCATTAATGCTGATCTATTTTTAGACCGATTACACTCTTACACACTACTAAGTAGTCAAATGTTTACGGACACGGAAAACCCTGTTTGTTTAGCTTTATTTTCACCGGAAAAATCTAATTCTATTTTACTCTATGAAAATGATGAATATGTGGGCGAATTACATGCTTTAAAAAAACAAGTAGAAGAAATTTTAACTAATAATCACTCGCCAATCGAGATAAGTTTCAATCATAAGCAAGGAAATTTAGGCTTACGAGCCATTGACAGCACCCGTTTTCCTAGCATTGCCTTTATTGACGCTCAATTAGTTCCCAGCCGCAAAATAAAAGTTAGTTCTCGTCATTTAACCCGCATACATATTCCCCAAGAAGTTAATTTGAATTTACTAAACGAAAAATTAAAAAAATTGCGGGAAGTAACCAATGACTTTCTTTTAACTCCTTTTCGTGGTTTAAGAAAAGATGGTAAATTCCGTCGCCGTTTAGATTTTCAACTAGCCCGGAAAATCATTGAATCTTGCTTATAGTATGATAGATTGAGAAAAAGAAGTTAAAAAGCAATACAAAGAAAACTTACTAGAATGCGAAAAGCAACTAGATAGCAAAGAATATCGCACTAAAATTGAAAAATGATGCCGGAAATTTGGCTTTGACTTTGACACAATTTTCACCAAAGCCAAAAGCGACCAGCATTTTCGAGCCTGTTTTGCCAAGGACCCTAAAAAGCAAAATATTTACGAAAAAATTCTTGCTGAATACATTAGTTCGCTTTCTTTTGTTTCTAACTTTCAAAAGCTAAGCAGCAGCGGAAAAAATGCTCTTTATATTGACCGTGGAGTATTGCGGAAAGGTAGCGAATACCCCCATAACAAACCGGCTAAATCAGTTGACTTCTCCTGAACCATCAAAAATAATAAAGGAGAAACCATTCAATTTTACGCCTTTCACAAATACATTGAAGAAAGTGGTGGTGCCCAGGACAACCAATTTAAAGAAATTAAGCATTGTATCGAAGTTGGGAGAAACGGCAGCCAAGAAACAAGCAGGCGAGTTATCTTTATTTGCGATGGCGATTATTTTACAGACAAGAAAATAAAAGAGTTAAAAAATTTAAAAGGCAGTTGAAACCTTATTGTTTTAAGAAGTGAGGAGTTAGAAAAGTATCTTAAAAAATACAATTAAGATTTTCTAAAACAATGAAGAAACTGATCTAAAAAAACCCAGACAAAGCACAACAGGAGGAGATGTTGGAAGTTGGTTGGCTGTGAGGTAGCACTAGTTTTCTAAACTAGGCTAACCCCTGCCAATACCTCCAAATATCCCTACCCCGTTGGCTTTCGTGCCGTTTTTCGCTTTAAAAAAGTAAGCAATAATTTTAAAAATATAAATATAGTTGCTTATTTAACAACCTGGCCCCAGTCAAATCAGGCTTTATAAGAGATTGTTCAGTTTGATTGGGCTGGGTTGCTAAGTAAACAACTATTTTTGAACAATCTCTTATGACTGACAATAAAAATAAAAACTCCCAACACGGAAAACACCAACCAGATTATTACGCCAAAAACAAACAAAAATACCTACTTGCTAATCAAAAATATAGAGCCAAATTAAAAGCAAAAAAACCATTAAAAACTTCTTCTCTTTTTCAACAAAAAAAACTAAATCAACTTTTAAAATTATTGGTTAATAATTGTTCTTTTGTCCCTGTTCCCAATAAACTTAAACACCCGATTATTAAAGGGTGAAACTCCTCTAACTACTTTTATAATCAAAAAATCGACCTAAATAAAAGAGGCTGTGTGCGGATTATTCCGGACAACTGGCGCGAATATATTATTATCTGATTAGATATTGACCAAAAAGGCTGAACTAAAATAGCCAAATTATTCCGTTGTGGTTATGTTACTAGTCCCAAGGGCCACATTCGCATCCCTATTCCCGTAAAAAGTTTAGGAGGCTTAAAAACTGGCACACTCTACTTTAAAAACCAAAAAATCGGTGATGCCAAATTAAGCGGAGAGGTTATGCTTCCCGGTCAGGCTTACTATGATAAAACAGGTAAGTTTTGCGGTTATTACCAATATAAAGCCTGAGGAACTTTCTTTCCTTTGAATAATAAAATTTGAGAAAATGCTACTGAATTCTTTACTTTTTTAAACAAAATTAGTGGTATTGAATATAAAACTATTAGTCAGCATTTTACTTACGCAAAAATCATTGAAAAAATGCTTGATTATCAACCATTTAAAGAAACTTCTTTTAATCCTTCCCGGGAACCACCGGGCAGGTGAAGGAATATAAATAACCTTTCAAAAGCAGTTAATTATTAAAGGCGAAAAAATGTTTTTTCGCTTTTTAAGTGATAATTGCCTGCTTTGGGAAAGTTATTTTTGATAATTTTTCCAAAAAGAACAACTAAATAAAGAAAAAAGTTGGATGCCGTTCCGGGAAACCGGCTACGGAGAGCATGGTAAGCAAAAAAGTTTACCATGGCGGCAATGAAAAA